GCATTCATGTTCTGCCCTCATTCTTTGTAGCTTGCTTCTCAGATCTCATGATCTCCTTTGGCTTTCCCCCTACACCAGCAGCAGTATCCTTATGGAAAACTTGTTTCCATAGAGCAAAATATCCTGTTCTGTCTCTTTGCTGTGGTGTTTAGGATAAGTTCAGGGGTTTTTGCACAGCTAGGGTTTTTTTATATTCTCTATCATGTCTTTTGAGAAAGGGAAAAGCGAAGACTGCAGATAACTTGCACTCAGCAGGGTGAGAGGATGTTGCCTGTCTGATTGGAGGTGCTGGGTGTGCCTCTCTATAACATGGTAGTAAAGATGAGCTGACTGCCTTGCACAGACAGCTGTTTGTGCCAGCTGTGCAATTTGCCAGTTCTGTTCCTGCAATAAGGTGAGAAATTACAAAAATAAATGTTGAACCAGATGAGAGAGAGATAACTGTTCTTTTGGCTAATACAAAGTTTTTTGTTTTCAGAGGAGATGTGGAAAATCAAATGAAAACTGAAAAGTAACTTTTAAAAGAAGCAATTTTGTGAAGTTGAGGGTATTCTGTTACAAATTCTGTGATTATAGCAGGAAAGATCTTGTGCTGAATAATATTTAGTGGAAATGCAGAACTACTTCACATTCTTAACTCATCAAAATGACCTTGAACATCCAGCACAGTAGCACTGTGCAGATGTACAGAACAGCCCCACTGTGGACTGGGTCATTTCTTTGCTTTTACTGTTACGGTTTTCAGTTTTTACTGTGAAGTACAGTTGAATAGCAGAAGGCCCAGCAGGGTGATACCAGACATTTAGGAGATCAGCTGGTTCTTATCCATTTGCTCTTCTGCTGTGTTTGAGCAATGGCAGACTGAATATGGAAAATGCAGCACTGCTTGAAGTGGAGATTGATGGCCTCTTGTTCAGAACAGGTTTGGCTGGCTCTCCCAGGAGAGACGGAGCAAATGACAAACCCCTAGTGGATCTGAGTTCTGTGACTTGAGCAACAAAATTAGAGTTTTTACTCTACCTGGTTATTTTATTCGTTCACTCACTCATCCTCATCCCTCAATCAGTGTTAAGTTCACTGTGTGTCAGTTTTGAGAGGATAGTAATGATGAATTTTTACTTCTACTGAATTTGCTTGTAGCATATCCTTACCTGGTATATTAAGAGAAAAAGGCATTTTTTGTATTTTGTTTGAAGTTAGGCAAGAGAGTAGATTACTGTTGGAAGATCTGAGCAGTTTGAGCACTCAGAAATAATTTCTCTTCTTTCTGCAGGATGATCTACTATCTGGACCCCTCGGTTCTCTCAGGCGTCTCCTGCTTCGTTATGTTCCTGTGTTTGGCTGATTACCTGGTTCCTGCTCTTGCTCCTCGAATCTTTGGCTCTAATAAGTGGTGAGGAAAGCTTCAATTGAAGCAGTTTCTCGAGTGTAATTATGATCTTTTATCAGAATGGATATCTGATTTCCTGATATCAAATAGTTACTTTGTAGAGTCATTGTAGTGAGAAATCAGCCATCTGTAATACATGAAGTGAGGACAGTAGCAACATGTTCTTAATTCTTTTTCTGGAAGATGACTACTACAATATAACTTTATTGTTCCTTTTCTTCTGAAAAATCAGGTTTTTTTAAGAAGCAGGCACATTCTTTACTCTCCATTAAGCATGCTAGCTTTTAGTAATTAATAGATAGTAAGAAGTAAAATTGTGTGGAAGAGTACTGAGTGTATTTGGAAAAAGGCAATAGTAAATGTGATGAATAAAGAGTAATTAAGAGAGTATGAATGTGATTGTGATTGAAACACATCTGAAAAAAGACAAAGCTTGTATAAAAGCAGTAACTTGAAGAAGAATCTAATTTGAACAAAATTTTGAGTTAGAGGTGAATTTTAGTGTCTCTGCTTTAGGATGACTAGTGGATAGGTGTTCTTACGTAGATATGCATTAATTGTGTGTATGACACTGGTATCAGATAAAGGTCAGTAGTCTTTGGTTTGAATTTGGTTGCTCTTTGGGAGTCAATTTAACATGAAAATTATGTGAACACTTCCATTGCAGTGCTCAATAAGGTATCAAGCTAAGCACAGCAAATGCCAGGATAAGCACTGGGTACGTTTTTACTGCTGGAAAAATGTCATGGGAGACTTTTTAAATTTTTTAAATAAATTTTGAATTCTTATTTCTGGCTTTTCCTCCCTCCTTCTTTAATAAAAGGACCACAGAACAGCAGCAAAGATTTCATGAGATTTGCAGCAATTTGGTGAAATCTCGTCGCCGGATTGTTGGCTGGTGGAAGCGCCTCTTCACTCTGAAGGAAGAAAAGCCTAAAATGGTATTGAGTTCTAGGAATTAATCTCTGTGTCTTAAGATTTTGTCTGATTTAGCTTTGTCTGAAATATTTTGGCAAGGCATGTGCCATGAACTGGTATTCCAAACCAGCAGCTGGCAGCTCTGGGTGTGACTCGAGACTGGTCACACATTTATTCAGACCTGGAGTGGTAAGATCAAAGACTTAAAAACTTGCAGTTCTGTGTAGTTTAGGAGCATACCCTACTGTTAATAATAAAGAAAGACTGGATTTCTCTGGATAGGTCCATTTTTGGAAACAAGCTGTTTCCAGTGTGCACAAACTGTCCGAAGAACTGGATCTTCAGTGGTGTGTCAGCTGTACATGAGCTACTGAGCCACCCAAAGCAGCTTTGGATGCAGCACTGGGGATGGCTCAGTCTGGCACTAAGGGATAGCTGAACAAAAAATAACTGCTACCCTGTCCAGCTGATGGTCTGAAAATAAGTGAGAACATACAATTAGAGATCCTGTAATCTCAATTTTAACATGCCTGTGCAGAAGTGTCGCTTGTGGAAGAGCCAGAAGGCTTCACACTGAAGGGAAGGGAGAATCCTCAGCAGGTCTGTGCTAACTCTTCTCTTTTCACTTTTAGTACTTCATGACCATGCTTTTCACTCTTGCTGTGGTTGCCTGGATTGGACAGCAAGTTCATAATCTCTTTCTGACTTATCTTATTGGTAAGTGTCACTCAAAGGACTCTTGTTACCTGCCTGAAATGGATTGAGACTGGTTGAAGTAATTTTTGAGTAAGTGTGTGGGGTGTGTTTATTGTAGGGTTATGTTTTACTCTTTCAAGTAATTAATGGGGCTTAAGGGAAGCAAAGAATTGCAGTGACAGAAGCTTGTTAAGAGAGTATTAATTCTTTTTTTTTTCTCTTTCTCTCTAGTAAGCTTCTTGTTACTGTTTCCTGGACTAAACCAACATGGGATCATCACAAAGTACATTGGAATGGCAAAAAGGGAGATCAACAAACTTCTCAAGCACAAGGAAAAGAAAAATGAATGAAGACTTTAACTGCTGTTCATTCTAGTAAAAGGTTTTTTTGGGAACAGTTTTGAGAATTAATGTATAATTAAGACCATAGAAGTTGTATTGCTCACTGACTTTTTTTTTTTAAATTGGCTCCCTGATGAAGTGAAAAAGTCACTCCAGCAGCTGCTGTGGGTTTGTGTCTTGCTGTGCTGGGTAGGGTTTGCAGCCTGGAGCTGATCCTGTGTGAGACATCCTCTGCTTTGATGAATGGAGCTTGTTAAGTGTCTTCATCGAACTAAGAGACCCTGTGCATAACCACCCCAACAGCAGAGCTGTAATGCCTGATAGTATTTCTGTAACTCTGTTAGTTTTGCTGATCATTAATTGTGGCTGCAGCAAGTGTGAGAGGCAGTTCTGAAGGCAGCTGCTGCTTGGAGACTTGTTACTACTGATCCTTGTGGCAGGAGCACAATTAGCTGAGTGAGAATGTGGCTGAGGGTGCACATCCAAAATGGGGGCACGAGCTGGTTCCACTTCCTCACTGAATCTGTTTGCTTCTTTTGGCTGCGTGTACCTCAGAATGTGTTGAGTAGGGGTCTGGAATATATAAATTTGTAGCTCAGTTATTTAGCTGTAGTGTAAACTCGTTGCACTGAGACTGTAGAAAATGAGTGAAGGTGTGTGTAACCTGAACAGCTGATTGTTCTAGAAACTGCTGTTGTCATGGAGCCTTGTAGCACGTTTGGTTTTATGAATGTTTGTCTGTATACAAAATCACTCTGAATATGCTGAGTTTGACTCTGTAAATAAGCCTGAATTGTCTGTGCTTTTCTATGATCTCTCCCTCCTTTTTTAAAACTGAACTTTTTTTTCTTTAAAAAGCTAAAACCTGTGTTAATGTTTTAAAAGTTTACTGTTTTAAAATGAATTCTCTTCCGTGTCTGTTGTAACTGTTGAATAGGTAAATACAGACTAAAGATAAACTACTTGAAGACTTGCTCCTTGTCAATGTGCAGAAAAGGGTGTCAGTGCATTTTTTAGTTAAGCAGGAGATCTGGATAGGGTTGAGGTGGGAGAGATCCTGGATGCGTGAAGCCAAGCGGTGACACGGCTCAGTGTTCCAGAGCTGGCGTCCCGCCAGTTGGAGAATTCACTGCACCGGATTAGGTGCTGCACGTCTGCTGTCACAGCCCCGAGTGCCGTGCGCCCCTCTGGAGCTCGAACTCGGTACAGACGCAGCGCGTCCGTCAGCCGGGGCTTTGCTCACCCCAGCCCCGTGTCGCAATGTCCCCGTGTCCTCGTGTCCCCCTGTCCCCGGCTCAGCTGCCTGGCCGCGCGCTCTGCCCGGCGGAGCGCAGCTTTTTGTCCCTCGCGCGCCGCCATACGCGCGCCAAGCGTTCCCGTTGCCATGGAAGCCGGGCGACGGCGTCGCTCCGGAAGTACGGCGCGTGGCTTCAGCCAATGGCGAGGCCCAGGCTTGGTGCGCGAAATCTCGCGATATCTTCGCCCGCCGATGGCCCTCCCATCACCCCGCGCGGCCCGGGTTCTTCCTTTTCCGCCATCACGCTCGCGGTGAGTGGGGCCGGAGCCGCGGTCGCGCCGCATCCGCCCCGTCCCGGCACCATCCGTGCTCCGCGCCCGCCCCGCCCGCGGCACCGGGAGCAGCGGGCACCGCCCCACCCGCCTGGCTCGGTTTGAGCCGCGGCTACCGGCCGTGGCGCCGTCCGGAGCCCCCGGAATGCGGGGTGGGGGCGGCACCTCCCGCCTGTGGCCCCGCGCTCCGCAGCCATGCGCGGCGGGAAACTGGGGCGGCGGCCGGAGCTGGTGCACTGTAGGGCGTGCGGATCGTGCGGCCAGGCCGGGGAGGAGGTAGCGGAGCGCGGGGAGCGGGCGCGGTCGGGGCCCGGAGGGGAGGCGGCCCCGGCGCGGGGGGCTGGCGGCTCTCGCCGGGGGCGGGAGTTGGCTCGCGCGGTGTTGGTGTCTCGGTGTGAAAGTCCTGGTGTGCCACAGGATCTGCCCCAGTGCCCGGGCAGCGACACCTCTGGGGACGCTGCTGGCTCTGTCAGAGAGGGGTGGCAGTGCCAAGTCATCGCTGCCGTGCTGGGGCTGCTCCGAGGCTCCTTCTCGCCAGCATCTTTCTTTTCCGAAGTGTCGTGTTTGTGCATCTTGCAGGTTTTTGCTGATCAGTGAGCCGAGCAGCATCTGTTGATTTAATAGCACGTTGGATTTAGTTATTGCACAGGGTTGGTACTGTGCAGTTGGGTTTTAATCGCGTTTTAAGGCCAAGCTGATGTACCTGGGGAGATGTCACACTGCTGGCATGGTGTCTGGATGGTGGTTTTGAAATCGTGTGTGCTTTGATAAAGCCAAGTGTCACATTCCCGACGTGTTATGGCTGTGGTGACTCCTCGATCACAGCTGAGCGTGTGCCTCGCTTTGCTTATTTACCTTGAGAGCGCTTTTCAGCCTTTAATTCACCGTTCTGTCAGTGTCGGATCTTTCAGAACCGAAGCTGGCCTTGCCAGAAGCGCGGTCAGTGTTTGTGTGTGCTGAAGCGCGGTGCAATAACTGCTGCCCTCCCCATGCAGGCACCATGGTGCGGATGAACGTTCTGGCCGATGCTCTCAAAAGCATCAACAATGCCGAGAAGCGTGGCAAGCGCCAGGTGCTCATCCGGCCGTGCTCCAAGGTGATCGTCCGCTTCCTGACCGTGATGATGAAGCACGGTGAGTCCCAACCCTGCTCCCCCGGCATGTCTGGGGGTGCTGCTGTGGGAAAAGAAGGATATCGAGGTGCTTGAAGTAATTCGAGTTATCACAGCTAAGCGTTATCTGTGTCTCTGCTGGTCCTCCTGCAGGTTACATTGGTGAATTCGAGATAATTGATGATCACAGAGCTGGGAAGATTGTTGTCAACCTCACAGGCAGACTCAACAAGGTAGGATTTGTGTTCTGAATTCAGTTCTCTAAAGAGGTGTTTAAATGAGACTTTTTTCTTTTTAAATTTTATGTTTGTCTGCTCCGTTTCTAAAAGAATTGCTTGTAAAGAAGGTGGTGTTTGTTGAATCTGTGTAAATCAGAGGAGCATGGATGTTACCAGTTAAGAGGGTGGATTCAAAGTGATACGGGTCACTAATTACATTTCTTTTAAACTCTGAATATGTAAGATGCTTTCAGGGAAGTCTGCTTGCAAGTGCTGTGTATTTCTCTCTCTTCAAAGGCTTTCTGGCTACCTAGTGCTTTCTCAGTTTCTTTGATATTTAAACTATCTGGAAGACTTGTCTTAAGAGATAGGAGCTGAGTTGGTTTCCAGTTGATGTTTGATACCTGCAGAGGTGGAGAGGACAAAGCTTTCTCCTGCTGCCAGGTGGGCTTTGCTTGCAGTGAGGGAAGGTTGAATGTTACGTTAATTGGTGCTTGTGAAGTTCCTGGGGCATATGAGGCATTCGTGTGTGTTTTGGAAATTTTAAAATGCTTGTGTCTCAAACTCCTGAGCTGTGTGGCTCTGTGGTGACTTGCTGTGCATCACTGTTGACAGTGAAGCTCAAGTGAGAGTTGGCTCTTGAGTAAAGAAATAAAAAACTTGGTCAGAATATGTTGGGAGCTGTTCTCATGATGAAAAAATATGCCAGCTGAAAATTACATGAGTGTGTAAGTCAGATAATACTGACACCCCCAAATGACTGTAGTAATTACAGCATTATGTGTCTAATGAGTGATGCAGGTCAGATTTGAATGTAGTGTTCCTTGAACTCTTCCAGGATGATTTTGTCATGAATCTTGCTGGTTAATGGATATAATATTTCAGTCATTGCAATGAGGGAACAGTTGTTTAGTTCAGAAAAACGTGCACAGTGCAGGAAGGTGTGCCTCTGGTTTGGTGTTGGATAGTTGTTAAGATAATTGGAGCCAGTGAGGGAACTGGTGGTGCTGCTGATGGTCTAGGTCAGTAATACGATTACCTTGAAAATTCCAGTAACTTCTCTGCATGTTAATTTCTTCTTGGTTAAAATCTACTTTTTTTTTTTTTTTTTTTTGCTAACTGTGTATGATGGTTGGAGGTAAAACACCCCTGATCAAATCCAGCAATTTTGCTGATGTTCCAGCATGCTTTTGTGGTTCCCCAGGTGCGGATGGTGTAGCTTCAGCAGCAGTTTGAGGCTGTTGAGCTGTGCAGGAGGGAGTGAGGCTGAGGAAGGCAGGGGTGTGCAGCGCTGGGTGTGAGGGTCCCAGCTGGGAGCAGAATGTGTGTGACAGCACTTGGTAAAGTCCTTCAGGCAGGGAGCTGGGATCACAGATGTGCAAATCAATAAAGTTCTTGTTTGTAATGCAATCCTCTTTTGCAGTGTGGTGTAATCAGTCCCAGATTTGATGTGCAGCTGAAGGATTTGGAAAAGTGGCAGAACAACCTGCTGCCTTCCCGTCAGTTTGGGTGAGTATCAGGAGGGGTCAGATGTGTGTTGTGTGTACAAATGTTACTCACAAACTGCCTGAGTGAGACTCGCCTGGCACCTTTTCTCTGATCAGCCTGGAGTTAAATTCCAATCTTAAAATCCATCCTCCATATAAATGCCCTTTTAAATCAGTTTTAAAGGGGCACTGCTAAGCAAGGACTTGTTTGGTAAAATCCTTGTTTCGCCATTTATAGTTTAAAGAAAAAATAAGACTTTTCTGATACTTGTTTTGGTTTTATGAATGGCCTTTTTTAAATGGGAAAGGAGTTGTGTAAGTTACCAGGTCAGTGGAAGTAGATTGTACTACCTGAATTCATGTGTCCTGGTTGTGTGCAAATTATTTAGATATGAAGTGATGAGGGACTTGGAGCCTCTGTTCAATGAGCCTCCACAGCACAGGCAATCTTACTATTCTGCAGTGCATCTTTTCTATACAAAGTGTGTGGAATTGAGAGCTGTAACTCTCAGTGCACCAGGGTGGCAGAGCTGTCCTCTCAAAGGAAGGATGAACAGTTCTGTGCTGTTTCTGTTAGCAAA